GCCTTATCTATTACGTTGTTGTTCAAGCTGTGTAGCACCGTTCCCAAAAAATTAGTTCACCACTCTGCCAACTTTGATTATCTTACAGCAGACGTAGGCGACCAGGAAGACATTAGACAGGCTTGGGGGTGGTTGATAACTCCGACGAGTCAACCGAAAGGGTAAAAGTGAACGCGGTTGGTTCTCAGGGGGTTTTAGGGATGAACAGGCAAGCTTTCCACCGATTACTAGCGGGAGTCTCTTTTTGTCTGTCGTTTTTGTCATCTCCCCACCCTGGGAACACTGGAGATCGAATGGCGACTGCTTGGAAGCCATGTCACCGCAGTCGGCCATCTAACGAGCTACGAGGGAAAAGTGTTACGAAGCTAAAAACTCTCAGAAACATGGTCTAGAGACCCGGCAGGGTATGCTCAAAGGAAAGACAGACAGGGAAAAAAGGTTAGCTAGAGCCGCGCAGATGCTGTTGTTTCTGGCCGTAATAGTAGTAGTCAATGCTCTGTAGATTCAGACATTCTTCCCGGTACTCGGCCATGTTCGTGTCGGCCCCTGGTCTGACGTTGTTCGACTGCCGTTGGCCCATTCCGCGACATTTGGCGCGCCTTCGAGCGGAAGACGAGATACGACCCTTCGAATAGCCCCAGACGCCTGGCGATCCCAGCAGAAGGAGCAGCCAAAGAGCGCAAACTGTTTCGAACTGTTTTTGCCCCCTTTATTATTAAAGGTTTTAGTAACAGTGGCAGCAGCGGCGGCGGTAACAGCAGCTGCAACGCGCTCAAGCGTCTGTAAGTATGTGTATGCGAGTACATGTATTTTCGTATGTGGCAAATACCTAGGAATTACGGAGGTTACACGCAAGGGGGTATGAGTGTTCGTATAGTACCTGCTTTTCTCTATCGCTCGTCCCGTCTTTTAGCCTTTATGGGAAAGGTAAACGGAACCTGTAAAAGGCACTTAGAAGCAAAATAATCTAAGTTGGTAAATTGTTGCTACGCGTGATGCCGCATAAGTTACCAGGTTACGAATTATGGTAAGTTGAGCTAACAAAAGCAAGTTGGATATTTAGAATAAAGCGTTCTAGGTCAGTGTAGACATTGATGTCGAAGTAGATCGCATGTGAAAAATAGTGACACGCCTAGCTGTATGCCCTAGCCAGCTATGCTACAACGGATGCCCTGATTTGATCCTAAATCAACATGATCGCATGACAGCCAAAACAATGATCCGCATGCCAAAACTTAGTAGACGTCTCAGACAAGCTGTGCGTGAAAATAGATCGTGCCCGGTTCCATTGTTTCTCATTGTTCTCGAGAAGTTCAATCAAGAAACAAGCAATTCGCTGGCTCAGCGTATTCTTGTTGCTAACGGTTACTTTTGACCTCGTCACATCATTCTCTTTTATTGTTTTTTTTTGCTGTTCTGATCCGGTGCGTGTTACTGCTCCTACTAGGGCTGCCGCGGTTACCTCTGACCGGGTAAGAGAAACATTTAGCCAAGAAGATTTGACCTGGCTCTTGTCGTGTTGAACCCCTAACAGAAGCACCACACATCGATCCGGCAAACGAACATTTCTACTTGAATCATGCTACTCTAACAGAACTCTTCCCTAGTTGGTTTCTTAGACGCCCAAAGGTCATGTGGGCTAGGTTGATTTCTGTTATGAAAACCCATGTTTCCCTCTGAAGTCACCTGGGAGATCTGGATCCTAAGGGCACCCTCCATGTTGAGATAAGGGTTCCATGTAAGGTACTTAGGAAAGATGAGAATAAAAACGGCTTGGTAAAAAAACTGTTTACCTTAACAACAACTAGTGGTGCGGAAAAGTGGGGTGGTACTTTAAGGAGGAATCCGTTCGCTAGGAAGTTCGTGCCGAAGGCAAAACGGTACTTTTAAGCCATAGGCGCCCTCTAAAGGACTCTATCGAAAGAGATTAAGCGTGCCCTTTATATGAGCGATTTACATTTCAGTGTAATAACATGTTCGCGATTTGTATTTGCATATTAGAAGTATTTGAAAACAAGAAACAGCTGCATCGGGTGGCGAACGCTGACATAACGTCACATACGTCAATATAGTCATCGTAATGGTGCTGGCTATATAAAATATTACTGTTACAAATATCGTAGTTGCAGAGCGATGTTCGATAATTTATTTTTTATTTATATACTTAGAAACTCTATACTAATTGTTATTAATATAATTAAGTAAACCGGGATCGAACTGGCTAGCCGCGTCTGCCTTCCTGAAAAGGACCGACATAAAAGCATAAGAACGAAGTTATAAAAGCACTTTTCCTCGGATTAATCAAGCTACGGATCACTTTAATGGCGTTGATAACAAAAAAAGTCGCTTATGCAATCACCGTAGACAGCGCACTGTAAACCGGCTGGCTCGAAGAAATGGTCACGTTCGATATACCGTTTCATAAGAACCGTTTCTCCTTACGCAGGATGATTAGACAGTGGAAAGAGCGACGACTCATATCCGCCCATATTATCACAAACTGCCCTTATTATTATGTAAGATAATTTGCATTACATCTTACACAATATTCCTAGAAACAGTTCAAATGTACTGAATTACACCCAACAAATCCCAATGTTCTTCTTAGCCCGCCCCGAAAGCGAGGCGCAGAAACAAGGAAGAACATACTAAAATAACAAAAATGGATCGCTTTTAACTGGTAACAAATAATTCGCATGTTACTTCTATTGATCTCTACTTGCTCTATTCAAGCTTGCGGATTGAAGTGGAACCAAACAAGTCGATACTTCGTTTGTCATATGCTACGCTGTTTATACACGTGAAAAATGGGTTTGCCATTGGGCTAACGATGCGCCGAACGGCAGGGGCGCGGAATAAACCCGTAGAAGGTAGGACAACGTTTAGTAAAATGCGGAATGAAAAAATCAACAAAAACATCGATAAGCTTGATAAAATCTTAATTTTGAAAAAAACCTCTAGCAGCCGGTACTATACGAAGACATACGACATCACTAGAAAGGTTGAAATTAGTTAACTGGTTGAATGTGTGTGGTATTAGCCCTCAAATCAGACGTTTCTAATCGGCTGTTCCTTCCACAGTTATTTTCTTTATTTAAATTTTTTTACCAAAATAAAAACGTTTATTATAAAACACAAACTATACATGTCTTTATTTGTTCATTATAGTCCACGTTCTTCAATGCACGCAATATCCATTTTCAACCAGAACCAAGACTCACATTTTACGTACTTTCATATCCAACGCCAACATTTTAACAAATATGTCCTATACGAAATCTTTAAATAGGAATTCTACGTGGCATGGTTTGAGCAACGTACTCGCCCGACATCAGTTAGTTCAGTAAACTCTATATTCGTCTTTGTCAAGTAGATCGAAAAGACTACCCTACTTTTTCTACACTATCATATATAGAAGGAAGATCCTCTGAACGTAAGTTAAGGCAAGTGTGTTGACTTAGTTTGTGGCGTTGGATAGAATCGGCGGCGAAGGCCCAAGCACGCGGAAAAGCTGATGACTGGGCAACTGGCATCGTCCTATCCAAGAGCTTCCACACAGGGGCGCATTTGCCCACCTAAGGCAATGCGAGCGAGTGTACGAGAGGCACAGACCTACGGCTCGAAGTGGCACCCGGTGTGTCCAGCCAGCTACACAAATTAATATACCACTTACCTTCCCTATGCTTCGCTTTCTATATTCTACCGTACTTAGAGCTCACTCCGGAGCTTCTCGAATACTGCCTACCCGAGCATGGTATAGCGCCCTGCAGAATGGTTAGCGCCTTAGCTGTCCAGGTGACACTGTCAAAACGTATACTCTCCAATAATAAATACTGTGGAATCTCGAAAAATACCGTATAGTGATTAAAAAAATACCCGGACAATTGTTAGAAGTCAAGGAAAAACGAGAACGAATGGAAAATTACTAAAAGACACGTCAAAGTAAGCTCGACGTGTCGATTAGCTAGCAATCCTTGCTTGCAAAATAATTGTTACTATGATCATGAGCAGGCATGAGCTTTCTCACAAATAGCTCATTCAAACTTACTTAAGAGGACTTGCTTGGGAAAAATATCGGGTCGAACATGCTGTACCTAGCTCTGAACCTTTGAAGTTATTATCCTGACATATTTTCTCTCAGTGCAGCGATTGCTTATCAGTTCTTCAAAGATCATGTTGAAGTTACTATTGAACAGGTTCTCGTTCGTCTATAACAGAGCTGAGCGTCAAAAGGTCCAGTATAGTTTTTTGTCCTAATTGCAGTTACCCGTCTTTATTTATAAGCGAACCCCGGTGCACTCTATTTACTCTATTTATACGAACCCCGGTGCATAGGGACAGTAGGAAGCGGGAAGCTTTCTGGTGTTAGGTGATAGATATTTGGAAAAATAGACCCGTTTCAAAAAGGAGAACCTATGAAGGGTGGCATGTCAATCAATAGAATAAATAATAAATCCGCTTACGGGGTTCGATACTGCTGCTGCCGCCGCCGCCGCCACTGCTTTTGTGTAAACAAACAACAATTATTAATTCATAACTTTAATGGCATATAAAATGATGGTCCAGTGCTCGTTTTGGGCTGGTCTTCTTTACGTTTTTGCGCTTCCCAAAACTGTGCGCTTCATCGATCGTCACGGACATGTTTGAAAGAGATGGAACAAAATGCCAGCATATCGCCTGGCTATGTCCTGTATCGAGAGATAATAATAGAATTAGTCATGCGACAAACCTGCTCGGCCGTGTAGTACTTAGATCGAATCGAATTGATTTTTTACACGATCCTCGTTACAAGGCCATACTTATATTCACTTCGAAGCTTTATACTTATAGTATCGTGTACTAACGTGTTTATCGTGTCTGAAAACTCCAGTGCTTTTTCCCTGTAAACTAGCTTTGCTCTTTATGCCTAGGTGTCTGCCCTATTTTAAAAATCAAACCGATGCCCAGTTCTCATTGCTACAAAAATTACTAGTAATTACTCGAGTATCTATATATATATATATATATTTATTGCCACGCTTATTTAGTCTATCACCGTCATCTATTTTGGAAAATTTGTTTCACCAACCACAGATTTGTGCCGTTGCCCCTCGCAAACCCGTATCACTATGCAACCAGTGAACAAACGCTACTCCACGTAGTCTCTTTACGATTTTCGTTCAGTCAAGGCCATATGTTAAGACCTCCCTTTAATTTACAAGATAGTATCATCTACACCGCACGAAACAACAGAAGCTATTTCGAGCCTGATACTACATTACGTCACTACAGGAAAATCAACCATACACAGTTAGCCAAGTTCCGAATCTAACAACAAACTTTCCAGCTGAACTTGAAACAGTATCACTGTAAACGACGTACACTCGAAATAAGTTATACCGCAAATCAGCCTGCACCAACATTCTATATGACGGCACAACACTTATTCCTCTTTTTTGGTGTCGGCATTGGGGGTGGCAGCGGCCTCGGTAGCTTCATCCCTTCGTGATTGATATTTCTTACACTTGTTTCGCTACATTCACTCATCGGCAGCATGACCTCGCTGGATGTTATAGTCTCTGTCTTCGAATCTGCTAGAAATGCGTACTTCTTGTTCTGAACTCCGCCCGGCTCCCTGTGGCCAGCTTGCTGGTTGCCAGATTTAGCCGATGAACTACACTGTTGTCGCCGTATTCGACCCGCTTGCCCCGAGAACTTCCTTTCGGATTTGCAGCTATCCTCACTGGTGATATCAACCCAATTGCTTGTGCCGCAGTACGGCATAACCCTGTTTTTCGACGCTTTTTTTACTTGTCTCGATTCTTTGTGTTGAACCGGTTGTTTTTCTTTTTGGCCACGATGAATAGATCCCACAGAATAGGCTGGAAAATGAAATAAGCACCATGATTGTAATATCTAGGACAGCTCAACTCAGCTGATAGCGAATCCTATTTATATCGGACTATAATTCAGATTTACGCGATTGTTACAGGCGTTTCCGGAAACCCTGCTTTTGTAAGGCAAACTTTAATAACCCACTATCAACGGGCACCATCGTATTGTACTGTGTCGCGTGAAAGAGTTCACCATCGAGTGAACCCCAAAAACCTTTGTATTTAGTAACTTACGCTTATTGCATTTACCGTTATTTCATATTACTCTAAAAATTGTGACTAGCGCATGTTTTTTATTATCATTATTAGGCGTCAAACAACGAAACCTGCGTTAATTACTGAAAGTACTCAACTTAAGTTAGTAACACATTAAATTTAGGATAATTTATTCAGTTATTAGTTGATGTGGATTAGAGAACTTTGCGAACGAAGAACATTCAGGTCCGTACAAAAGCCAAGCACGAACTTAATATGGCGGATGTAGCATATCGAATATCACCGAGTAAATAACTAGAAGTTTTTTTTTGCCAATAAGTAAAGCTCATCGACGTGTTATCTTAACACTGAATTGCTAAAAGATACAACATCTAGATAATTAGGTATGCTGAAAAAAACTAATCACCGAATGTATTAATAACGGTTTGTCACTGTTTGATAATCGGCAATCAGGTGGCTCTCTGTTGTTGAGGTACTTCAGGCACACGATAAGGATTCTGCCAACGATTCTCTTATCCGCGCCGAGGCTTGAAGGTTCCCTGACATCTGCAAACCGGGCCTTCGCCGAGTGAAGCGATAGGGGAGTCTACTAACAAATAGCTTGAATTTACATTCGATTATACTCCTTTTGTTAAGGATTGCTTCACAGAGCGTGTCTATGTTCGATTGCGAACCTAGACCACCGTATCTCGAACTTGAATAGGCAAACACGTTACTTTCACTGCACCATCACAGAGTTTCAACGCAAGCAACATAGCTACTCTTACGCTTCGAATGAGAAAAAACGACCTGCCACTAACGATAGTTACTAGAGTGATCTTTACTCATCCGTGATTGTCAGTGAAGTCGGTATGTGACACTTCTATTCAATCAAACAATGCTTCGTTATTCAGACAAAGCACGTGAGTCGCATTTCGAGCGAGACAGCCTCGTCGTGCAAGTCTCATTGACTGCCGTCCAGTTGCAGCTCTTCCCCGGCGACAAAAGCGGTACTAACGACCATTAGAGAGTGAGACACTGGTGTTCAGGAATCAGAAATAGCTTTATGGTTCGCAGCGACATAACGACAGATAGTGAGCACAGAAGCACTCGCTAAGATCAACGGACTTACGTTTTAACGATCACTAACTCTGAGCAAGGAGTTAACAATAGTCACGCGGTGAGCAACTACTAGGCAAACGATTGCGCGACAGGTCCAGTAAGAGATACATGGAGGCTTGGACAGGGGAGCTATGCGGCTCGTGAGGCATAGGCTTCATTTGGACATGCGGAATTATGGCGTTGCCTACGCACCCTTTCCATCTTCTGTTTCATATACATTCTCGTCATATATGAATGCATGAATACCAACGAGCTGCGCAAAGCTGGCGAATGAGTACCAGCAAGAAAATGGCGACGGGAATTAACGTCTAACACGAGGCCAACGTTGGCACATCTACGTTGTGTGAGCCTATATGCTGCGGCTGCAGGCCGCGATTACGATTCTGAGACTTAGGAATAGCTTATTTTCAATTAGAGTCACGCAGTTATGTGCTGAGAGCTAACCGCCTTCGGTAAGGGCTGATGTACTACAGTTAGAGAAAGTCGTCAACTCAAATCTCTGTAGGCTGTACGTTACCGGCGAGCAGCTATGGGCAAGTGGTAGTAGTCTTCAGTGGCAATGGTCCCTGCTGGCATTTCAGTGAGTCGTAACAACAAGGTAAAAATTGCGGCTGCCACGAGTATAACCGCAGCACCGGGCCTTTCACCACAGCTATCTCTAACCTACTCTGCTTATTTACCTCTCCTAGCCTTTCGATCTCGGCGGAAAAGGGCTGGTTACCCATATATCCATTTGGATAAAGGAAAGCGACGAGAGACGGAACGAAAAGCTCTAGAGGCGTTAAATTAAAACTGTAGCAGACATACGAGCTTGTTATGACTGATGGATTGCCGGAGTGTCTTTGTTGCCGGTTGACAATGTTTATTTTATTGATACAAAGTAGAAGGTGTACCAGCATGTAACATAATGGAAAAGTGATACGGTCCCAGATATCTATGCGCCGGTTTCGCGAGCAGGGGTACCCGGCAAATCTGAGAGAGAATGACAGATCTTACATGAGGTAAGGGAATATATATCGAAATGCGTTAGAGGAGGCAAAGTTGACACTTGAGAGGTATGCATGATGCCAACATGATGACAACAGTTGAAAGAGCTCTTATCACCGTTAAGGAGTTTGTTGACGGTGAAACGTCTAGTAATGGAGTTCCTTACGCACGTTCTTTTCAAATCTTGATGAGTGGAATCAGGTCCATATCTGTCACCTGTTCCTATAATTTCGTGGAAACTGATTGATTTAGAGTAAAGGAGAATTCCAACCGAATAGAGGTATTACTTGAATGGAATTTGTCTATTAATACCTACTATTAGAAATATCTATACAGACCAATCACTAGGGCAAGCCCGAAGCTCCGCAGCTCCATACATGGCAATAACCGAGAACCACTCATCATAATAATCGCGCCCCACTCATTTTCTTCAGACGGTCGCAACAAAACCTATAGCTTCTTCTTTTCGTATCTATGGAAGTGCAAATAGTTCGCGCCAGAAACTCCCGTTATCGGCCGCCGTTTTCGCGCCAAACAAGTTCAACCCTTAGTCGATACAGGAATCTCTACCGCGTTTAATGCCAAAGCTTTTACCCCCTCCCCTCTCCAAAAACCTTTTCCCTTATTCCTCTTCAATGCCCCTTGTTTCCCGAGCTTCTTTCTTCTGTCTGCGGCTCGAAAAACTGTCAGCAGACGTAGGCATCGGAAACGAAGTAGCCTAACCTGGCTGTTACTGCTACTAGCTTTGCACAGCACTGCGACTCTAAATCTAAATTGTAAATGAGACAGACACCCATCGTTCCCAAGGCGATGTGGGCTGATGGCATAGGCATGGCCCGTCGCCCCTTCTTTTGAGTCTTGCCGCCAACCGCCTTTACCCCACCGTGTGTCGCCCTTAGCTATGTCTCGCCACCCAGGAGAAGGCTAGCTGTTGAATACTACCAGCGGAGGACGCCAAAGCAGAACCCGTCGTATGTAGCTGTGGCTACGGGGGACCCCGTTCAAGCGTCCGCTGACGAGCCCAAAAGCAGTCGTAGTAGTAGAAGAAGAAGCAGCAGCAGCAGCCACAGCCGTAGCGGCGCGGGTACGTGTTGACTTAATCAAATGTTTTCGCCGAGTACGAACGACCACCACTTCCGTTGGCGTAACGGTAGTTTTTCCACATTCATTGGCTCAATATACGATGTTACCGTTGTCGTCGGGTCGGCTAGGGGCTCGCTCCCTTCAACCCGACTAACTTGTTCCTCTGCATTACCAGCAACAGCATTATGCTGACTGTCTACAACAAGTCACTTTGCAGTAGCTCCCCTCGGTCTGGATCTAGGGGCTTCGAGATCCCGTTCGCCCGCGACTGTGACGGTGTGTACGATGAGTAAAAGCACGCTTCCTCTCTCGTTGAGCTCTGTATAACTTGCGACAGCAACGTACGAATAAGCTTATTATGCAGAAACAAGCGGGAGGAGTTCTAGCACGATGTATGCGAGGTATTAGCCGGTCGTTCTCTTTTAAAACAGTTTCGCTTGTGCGCGTGGATGTGCGTGTATAGTCTGCGGCGGAGGCAAGCTGTCGCTCGCAACCAACCGTGTTTTAGTGGAGTCCGAGTATACTACTACTGGGCAATCTGCAATAGGGACGGGGGTAAGTGAAAGAACGGAGAAAGCCTACCAAAGGACATGAGAATTCGTCAGCGCTTTTTCGTTTGCTACGAAGAGCGAACTTGTAGATAACCTGCTCGTTTTGATGATGCTCAAACGGTAAATGGGAAAGAAATCTGCCACCTCGCTGAATCTAGAAACTAGAAGGCCTAGAAGATGAAGAAAAAATTCTGACCTGTCGAAAACGAGGCTGCGAAAACAACACAAATAGGTTTAATCCACACGGAGAAGGTATCCGTGAATATATTCGTTAGGTGAATAATACGACAACTGTAAGAAAAAAATATGAACGTAATCTAACGTATCGGTATGGAACAAGATACAGGCTTCAAGTCCTACGTAAATAAAACCCATGTTAACCCATCGTGCCCGAGTGTACTGGCCAAAAAATATGCTGTAGGGTCAGATATTACATTAAGTTATTTAATTGCCGTATCGACGGACTGTTACTAAACTTAACTTTATCCGTTGTCTCTTCTCGAAGCCAGCATTGCCTGATTCGGATAATAACGGTACATTGTTTTGCAACATTTGTTATACAATTGAATTACAGTTCAGATCTTACCATTTTGAGTTAAACGCAATAAAGTAAACTTTGTAATCTAAAAGAAAAGATCGCTTAATGTCATGTGATCACAAAGAATGTAATATAAACAACTACTAGAAAATCTTCCACACTCTCTTGCACCCTAATAAACATAACGACAAGAGCCAATAGTTAAACCCAGATTTTATTTAGCAGCATTGTAGGTTTACAACGCTTCTATTGGCCATGTTGCGTACCTTCATGTCGAGGTTTTTGGTGATTAGTCGAACGATAGATGGGGTCAATGCTGCGGACTTCCATTGGGATTGGAATTGGTCCCCCCACCATCTTTTATCAGTGACCCGTATCCAATACACTCTAAATAAACGTTCTATTGTTTTGTCACGTTTTAAAGCTTTTCGCACTACAAAACGTTTAGTTCGTTTTGTATTGCTGAATTGAACGACACTGCACCGACCTTTTATGGATTCTTTGAAATTTACACAGCTCAGGCTCACTGTCCAACAATTTATATCTGCCGCCGCGTTCCGCCATGACAAAGCGATTCTCTCCAAATGCTACCAACATTGCTAGCGCGACGAAGCAACGTTGTTGGATACAATATACTGCTTCGAGATTTGGAAAAGGTCTCGAAAATTATTCTGTTCAAAATACGAATAATTAGCGCATACACCATATCCATTTAGTAGAATAATTACCTACCTGTATAAATATCACAGTTACTTAACTGAAATGGTTTACGCCAGGTGTATGGGAGAAAAACGTGGAACAATTTCAATATTGCATTTATCAGTCGTGTATAGCGAGGTAACACAATCTTTGGTTTCGACAGTTTACCTAATTGGGCTAGGAGAGATACTGGACACAAAATAGGAGAATATTAGACATTTTGATGAGCTAAGACAGAAACGAGCGGTGTTTCGGTTTACCGCAAAAGTCTTACGCGCGTTTACTCCTTCGCTTCTCATATAAAACAGTAGATCTGATGTTGAATAAATGCAGAGGGCCTTATAAAATTCGATATGATTTGAGCAAGTAGCTCACTTGATACATCCTCATAAAACTAATTAGTCTCAGTTCATTATATCTCATTTCGAAATAAGGATTCTTGCGTTACATCGCAACTTAAACAGAATCCTATTACATACAGGCTCGATGTTCTCAGTAGCTGAAGTAAGGTGACCCAAATGCTACCCCGATACTTTCTGAAGCTGATTACCAATTGAATACTCTGGCCTCTACTTATAAAAGCGATAGGTTCCGAAAATTCGAGCATACTGACCATCTGGGGCTCAAATTTCTTGCCGCTTAAGGCAACAGCTTTGACGATAGAAGCCCTCAAACAGTTCCCCCTTTGCGTTGGCTCTGGCGAATGGGTCAGATCCGCAGGCTGTTGAAATTGTCCAAAGCCCAGCGAGCCATCGGCTGGCTGCCTTTCTGATAGCAAACACGCCTGGACTGCTCAATCTAGGTGGCTTTTGCTTGCCGTGGTATAAACAAGCAATTTTGCTGGTCAAAGGGCCGACCACAAACAAACACATCTGCATTTTATAGACTTTCGGATCAAGCCAGGCAGAACCAATTCACTGAAGCGGATTCTAGTGTTGCGAAAAGTAGTTGAACGAGACCTAGCCTGCGCGTACAGATCAGAATAAACCAGGAACATATGTATAGGACCTGATGGTTTGCCTCTGGCGTATATTATATATGGAACCATCTATTTACCTAAATCGTATTTAACTCTTTAAATACCCATTCGTTGGAAGTGTACGGTTTTGAAGGACAACAAACGCATACTGAACTAAAGGCATAAAGGATAACAATGCTGTCACTAGCTAACTTCCAAGTCAGCTAATAGACTAATTATGATTTGTGATTTTTTATGTATATCAGATGTTCCCAATGTGGTACTTGAAAATATAAAAAAAACACAATCAATCGTAACCAAAATGAACGTGGAGATGTGTTTATCATTAGAACGACTAGCCTAAGAGTAAGCCTATACGGAAGTTGCAAGAAGTCTACATTAGGAGCTCAGCGTAGAATAAGCCTCCGTTAACGCTAATAACCTCCCCCCCCCCCCCCTCTCCCAGCCAAATCTGTTTTCTGTCACTACCCACCCTAATCACAAAGTAGTCTTCTTTCGTGTTATTTTTTATGAATCCGTACAGAAATGTCGTTTGAAGTTGAGTATTCGTACGCAGAGCCCCATTCGAAGACATTCTAGACCAAGGCGTCTTACGTAGCTATAGCTCTATGTGGCAGACACCTGGCTCACTTGCTTGGACGTCGCCTAGCATTCTCCGATGTATTGTCCCATCTAGTCAACTATTCCGGCCTCATGCTTCGCTCACCGCTGCACTAATGAGCTTCAGCGTCGCTCCTCGAACTACACCCCCACGCCTCTACGTCCGAGTAGTCGAAAGGTGGACATCGCACGCCTTGGTAGGCCGCGCCTCGTTGGATTAACCTTAATGCCGCTAATGCCCCGATCGTCTTTATCGCCCTACCCGGAGTCCCCGCCTCCAGACTTTGACAAACACCAGGCGTCCACCGTTACCCACTGACGTGAGATGTGTCGCTTCACTGTTCCGTCGCATGGCATCACGTCGGTTATACAGCCCACTATCTACATGTTAGTATATCGACTTTGTGTAGTGCTAGGAGTATCAGAACAACGAGGGCGGCGGCGGCGGCGGCAGGCGCGACAGCGGAAAACGCCGATCACTGCCAGCTCAGCAAGCTGGGCCCGTACAGGTCCCAGGTACGTCTATGCCTAGGCGGCCTACGGACACGGTGGGCATGGAGACTCACCCACTTACATCGACAGAGACATCATTCTGTAGAGGCAGAAGCTCTCACATCAGCTTATTTTAATGTCCACCTTCTCTTAGGTAGGTGCTTCATAGCGGATCGGAAAAATAGAGCAAAGAGCATGGATCCAGACAAGGGTGCTTTAATTAGCTCGCACCAATATATGCTGAAGCATGAAGGGTTCACCAGAGGCAACCTGGAGCGGAGCTAGCGAAAAAGGTTGCTTAGCGCTGCGTAACTTTACCAATATCGAACGCGGCAGGCGTATTGGAGACTTACTGTTCATATTGAGATATACTTGTTTGTATAGACCAGAAAGTGACATCGAGAGGAACATTCCGGGAAGAGTACAGATTTTGACATAGCAGGAGACTAAACTTTGATTTAGATACCCCTATGTAGGCCGCTTCCACATGGTATGCACATGTTTGCACTCCAAGCCGGATGCTTGCTGCCGCCTATTATAGCACAAACAGAAATTACGTCCTGCGGTTTGCTGAGAAAGCTAACAGCTATAAAGCTATATAAGCTAATAGCTGCTATTGTGATATCCATATTTTACAAACGAAATGCATATGCGCGATTTGCAAAGAACGATAGTTTTTCGTGTACTTTATTTTTTAATTGTACCATATATATTATTCAGTAAAATCCTGAAATATCGAGCATGTTCCTTGAATGATATTTACTCACGTTGTTTACCACTATTTGAATCTAGATATCTCATATGTAGTTTCATATCACTTTTTAAAGTTACTATAGGTCTTCCTTATGTTTTTTTATGGAAAAGACAAAAAAGACTCAACATTTGCGAGTCGGCGTTGTCCTTGCTCTTAGTTGTGGTTCTCGTGCGACTTTTTTCGCAAGATTTTGCCAAGTTTTAAGAGTGCAATTAGAATGGGTTCCGTGCTTCACGGTTGACTATCCGGTTATGATTGAAATGATGGTTGGTTTCAACTGGGTTTGGCTCATCTAAATAAAGTGTCATCAATCAGACTGCATACGAAGGATGTATAAGCCTTAGACCTATTATTAATTATTGGTCGTGGAACGTTTGAGGCTTTCATTTGAACCTACATCAAATGCAACGAGGCGTAGTTTCAAAAGCAAGATGCTCCCTTGCGGTTTCTATTGTATTTTCAAGTTAACTGCTACTTCAGTTGTCCTATATCGGGGTCCAATGCGTGTGGCACTTTTGAAAAGATTAACCGATAAAACGGCGGGTTTTATTCAAATCGAAAGGATGCATTATACATACATTAGTCGTTAACACCAATATTGTCCAAAGAATTGGCTTCAAAAAGCGACGGTTTCAGCAAGCATTTTGAGACACCCTATCGTGATCGCAAATATTTAGAAATATTTCAGTTTTCTAGCAACATAATTTTCGCAAAAAATGTTTATCATGTGAGCGTTTATGTGAACTTTTCGATATATCCATATTATCTGAGCTGCAAAATTGTTTCTAAAATACACTTAGATTTCCCTTTCCAGAGAGGCAGATAACTCTCAAATAACATTCTCTGATAAGAACGTTATTTTGAGAACCATTACGTATTATCTCTAAGAGATAATATGTAATTGTTCTCAAAAATAAAACATAAAACGACTTCAGCAGTGCGTACTAGAATGAAGCATCGAACAAAGGTCCAATTCTCTGTCCACTGTTTCGTACTGCTGCACTGCTTTGTGCCTCAGCTCCGGAAAACCGTCACATACATCAGGATTACCCTTTCGAACCCCACAATTTGGACCCCCGCTTGGGTCTTCCGCGTTCCCGAAGCGTCTTGCTGCTTTCAAGCTGGCCTCTTTCTTTAATAGGAAAGACTGCGAGTGTAAGGAGGTGGCAGTCAGGAACAGGGCAGATACAAATTGACAGGCGTACTTTGGGAGGATTTTCTAAAAAATAGATAGACGAGAAAGGAAAGCATGAACCAGTGTCGAGAAGGACAACAGGATGAAGCATTGGGCTCACCCTTAGCAGAATTTCGGGAAGGAGAGCACTACAAAAAACGGCCTTCGGCAGTCCAGCGTTCGACAGAAGGACTGCAAACCCGAAAAATCGAAAAATACGAAGAAGAAGACGAAAAGGAAGAGAAAGGTTGAACTACGGTTCAACTACTGGCGTTTTCTGAGTCGCACTCTGCGGGATAGCGTCGCCTTGTTGAAACGGAGTTGTTGTGGCAAGGAGCTGGCGCGTTCAACGAACGCGATGGGATTTACGTGGGTTTGTAGAGGGGAACTGCCAGCAATCGAATCTGACAGCTGAGTGGACACAATTGTGAACATGTGATGGCCCGGCGAAAGCCTGACGGAGGCGACCTACTTTTCAAATGAGCAGGCCAAGTAACTAGACCTGCTGCACTCTTCCGGTCGAGCGTTGTTATAGCATGTTCGTTGAGTGACAGAGGCAAAACAGAAGAGTAGAAGCTACATTGACGGAAGGTTAGCGGCGTAGGTCCTGGTAATATAGATAGGCTTTTAAGAAAGCTGATTTTTTTTATGTTATTCTAAGGGGTCTTTTTTTTCGTTTTCCATTAGAGATCGTCGCTGAAGGTCAACTGGTAAAAATAGTAAAGAGCAAACTAAAACCCATTTGTAAAAGATATGCTTCTTGTTATTATTATTCGTAGCGTTCTTCCAGTCGCACATCATTTCAGAAATGACCAACTTTAAAAAAGTACTGCAATCGGGCGCAAAATA